CACTCAACACTGCTATTTAATTTGCTTTTAATGCACCATTACCAGCTGAAAAGTGTTAATCATATCGAAAACTGAGCTTTCTAATAGCCAATCAATGTTAAACACGATTACTTTATAAAAATGTTGAGGTGTAGCAAGCGATCGTCCAAAGTTGTCCAAAGCCTGCTGTCATTGTCCAACCGAATTCCGAATTGGACATTGGACAAAATCGGAATTCCGAAGATTCAAGTTCCGATTGACACCACTAGTGAGGACCCTCACCGGCGCTTATGAGGGATTCACACTAGCACCTCTGAGGGGCCACACGGGCGTCTGTGAGGACCCCACACCAGTGCCTCTAAAGGCCCCTAATTGGAGGCTCTGAAGGCCCTGCATCGGTGATACTGAGGGTCCTACCAAAGGCACAACACAAGCCATTAGTCTCCTTCTGAGTCCCACACGCCGCCCTCCCACCATAGGCGGTGGAACGGGGAGGGCACCGGGGCACCGTGCCCCCTCTGATTTGGGCATTTTAACATTAGCCCTATGGGCGTTGCATGGAAAGAATGGGACCAAAAGTCGGCAGTGTCCCCCCCCCCCCCTCCACTTAATTGAAGGTGTTCCGCCGCTACTGCCTCCCACCGGAGCGAGTAAACCTGTATCGATCAACGACTTTACCAACGTTGTACGTCATAATGTTCTCATCACGCCAAATCAAATACCATCCGGAACCAAAATGGTCCAGTATAAAATATGACCTACCAAAGTTATGATCAAGTTCAGATAAAATCAAAGTGGGATGACAATAGCAGGTGTTCTTAAATCGATGCCGAATCAGCAGAAACCATTCACATGCAAGAGAAATACCTTGTGCTAATGTTTATATAAAAACAGACATGTAGGTCCATAAAAGGGAGCAGAGATCCTTCATCGTTGCATCAATGTTGAGGGGGCGGCGCCCACTCGGCTCTCAAGTTGGAGTGGGGGGGGGGGGGGGGGTAAGCGCCCCCACTGCCCCCCCCCCTGTTCCCCGGGGTCTATGCAGTGAACGACGCTACAAAAAAAAAAAACATGTGACACCTAATAGCAGGCACTATAAACATGCGCTCGTATGTACGTATCCCGTCAGACGACGGGGATCGGGGGTAGTAGGGTAGACCGGGGCAAGTCGCCCCGCCGAGGTAAAACGCCTCACCGATGTTTCTCGGAACTGGCAAGGTTCTGGGGAAACATCCTCTCTTCTATAAAACGTGCACTATACGATCAGTATATGAGCAGACTGGAAAGAAATTGTGATGACGCTTTAGGGAGATAATGCCAAAAATGTGTTTTTGGAGTGATTTTTATGTTTTGTTGTCAGATTATGCATCATGGCGTTCTTTTATCGTCCACATCAGGTTAACGACTTTTATGTATTTTGAACGACTATTGTCTAACGCTTATAATGCCGGGTTGGTTCGTGTTAAATTATGTCTTCCTGGAGTGCAAGGCGTTGTTCTCTGACCGTACTACGTGATGGGGTAAAACGCCCCAGTAGGTCGCGGGGCAAAAAGCCCCATGGGGCGTTTTACCTCATGTGTTGTTCGGACTACCCACTTCCTAATGCTCGGTAGCTGGCGAACGGCATGTTTCTATGCATTTATATGTACTTTTCTCAGCAACTGGATGGCAAAGGAAGTATTTTGTTAACATTTGCATTGCAATAACTTATTATTTGGCCTTCTGAGGCAGGTGAAAAAACTGCTCACACAATAGTGTCGTAGCTGAACACCTGATAGGATGGAAGGTGCTAACTTCAGTGCCGTGCCTCCCAAGGTCTAACGGACCTCTCATATAAGATTTAGTCAACTAGCATGTTTAATCTTTAATCTAGAGTATGGGGCTTCTTGCCCCAGGCCGTGGGGCGTTTTGCCCTGGGGTTGGGGCAAAACGCCCTATTTGCAGTTGCTTCACAAATCACTTCCTAGCTGGGAGTCCGATCATAAGTGAATGAATTTGAGGGGTAGAATTTAAAGTAAAATGTCCAAAGAACGCATTGAGCACAAATTTGGCCTTCCAGGTGATGTGGGACAAAAGTTATGTAGCAAAATAAATTATCTGGGGCGTCTTGCCCCAGGCTACCCTACTATGCAACATACATTAACACAGAACTATTTCGTGCTTTAAGATGCATAACATCACATTTTCACCAACATTCTGAGTGCCAGACAAGCCAACAGCAAGGCGTCATTTCGGTAAAATGCATTTAATGATGATCGTAAGCTCACAAAGCATGGCGAGCGTGTTAGTTCAAAACATTGCCGCTAGGGGCGCTGAGGTCGCTAATGCTGAGAGATAGGCCAAAGTGTCGGCGGTCGGCGCCGCATGGGTGTTAATATTTGGGGGAAATAAAAAATGTCACACGGTTTCTACGTGTCTGGGGCACGATAAAATCAGTGGAGCACCATGTTTTGCGAAAAAAGTGCCCAAAATGACACACCCTAATGGCCGTCCTGTCGCCGAGCCCCTCTGACCTGCCCGGCCGCCTCCGTCGTCACTTTGACGGCTCGCTCCGTGGACTGCGTATGGCACGGCAGTCCGGTCAGGAGCGGGGTCTCCAAAAACTTCTCCAACTGGTCTCCGGTCATCCCTTGGGTCAGCGGCGGCTCCAGCGTGGCGCGGTCGAGGTCCACCAGGCTCCAGTAGGTCGCCGCTCGGACCCAGGGACTCGGAAGGGTCCGTGGGCGCCACGACGGCGCTGAACGATTCAGCGGCGACCTACTGGAGCCTGGTGGACCTCGACCGCGCCACGCTGGAGCCGCCGCTGACCCAAGGGATGACCGGAGACCAGTTGGAGAAGTTTTTAGAGACCCCGCTCCTGACCGGACTGCCGTGCCATACGCAGTCCACGGAGCGAGCCGTCAAAGTGACGACGGAGGCGGCCGGGCAGGTCAGAGGGGCTCGGCGACAGGACGGCCATGCGCTAAACAAGCTGGCGTGGAGGAGGCGAAACCCAGGACAGGTGGTGAAGAAGAAGTACCGCCCAGTCAAAACCACAGCAGAGAAGGAGGGATAGACAGCTCGGAGAGCTAAATGCACCAAATTCAGCAGCAGACCGGGAGTCGGGCGCGCCGGTCGGGGCGACAGGAAAAGCCAGGCACGGACGATAAGAAACTTATTTACTGCGCAAAGACCTTGTACATACAATGCTGTGTTTTCCGTCGTCCCGCTGTGATGAGCGCTGCTTGTCTGGCGCTGTGCGTCCGTCGTATTTTATGTGAAGTATGTTATGGGCACACAGTGCGGTAACTCGTGCAATACAGATCTCATTTGTAGACAATTGTCTTTTTCAGGCTGCACAGCGCCGTTAAATGGCCGAGAGACGCTGCAAACTCTCACACTTTCCTGGCAACGTCCATGGGATAATTAGTGTTTATTGTCATAGTTAAAGCGGACACGGTGCCCCAGTGCTCTCATGTTCCATTTCCTAGGTCCCAAAGGTTCCAGAGCCCATGGTCAGACAGCTCTCATTTGCCGTTAGACACGTTACTGGAAACAACCGCGAGTTAAATGCGATTTTTCGCTGAATTGTGTAGTTTTCAAGCTGGAATATATTACAAATGTGATCAAATATAGGGCTAATGGCGACAAAAACATAAAAACATGCCAGTTCCTTCATACTGGAATGGAAACAACACTAAAAGACACTCTGAAAACCTTCCCCAAAGCCGAGACGTGAAGCCCATTGTGCTGCCATCTATGGACAGATCTATGAAACTCGGGAGCTGCGGGCGGCTGACTCGTCGGAAAAAAACAGCGATAAAAAGCGGTAAAACGGGTGTAGATGTATGAAACTTGCCATGCCGGCGCAGAATTAGTGTCGTAACTTATATTATGCCATTTCACTATGCTTTTTAAATAGCAACTATCGAATACCTGCACCGAAAGTGCCAGAATCGCAAAAATATGCTCATTTTCCCATCTTTAAATTTTGGGGCGGGCTTCCAAATTCAAAATTTCTGGTCAAAGATGGTATTTTCGTACTCAGGGCATCAAGCCACGTCGATCTAGGGGCGTGCTGGCTAACTTCTAAAAAAAAAGTTGCAAAAAGGGTCACCCTACTGGTGTAGGCAGGTCGGGCGACCTCCGTGTGCCGGCGAGCTGCCCGGCCACGTAATCCCCTCCAGAGCAGCGTCGTTCGGCGCTGTCGGCGCGGCACTCGCTATAATTAATCACGTCCTGCTGTCGTATTTCTCACGCCGCTCTTCGTTTCGCCGTACTTCTTTCGCGAGAAATTTCATGACGACGTTTCGGCCGCTTTGAGGCGTTCATGAAAAATTACTGCGGGGACTGTGCCATGCTGGTGATGATGAGCGGGCGACCTTTGGGGACATTTCTGGAGCGCAGTGGATACTGGGGACAGATGTGTCACGTCCTTTGGTGACGCTTGGCAGGGCATCCCTATGAAACTGTTTAACAGGTATTCACTTGGCGACCTTCACCTATATGTGTGGGCTCTGTGCTTATTTGTTGGCGTCGCCGAGTGAGTCGTTTTAAGTTAATCGGTAACTCATAGAAGTCATGACAAACGCTGATAGATGGATTAGGTTAGGTGAATGTGAAGCGTATTTCACAAGGTGTGTGTTAGCTCCGGTAAGTCCTGAGTCCGGTCACGGCTTACACCTTGAAGAAACCCTTTGTAGCTCGCCTGTCTATCGGCTTATCCGCCTGATCTTTGTTAAGTATCGAATCGCCAGATGCATTCAGACATCGAATGTCCTTAGTTTTGCATCCCACACGTTTGCACGGTTGGCCTTTCCATTCGTTGCGTGGCCGAGATATGAGTAGCGCACTATACTCGGTCTCCCAGCAGTGGATGTATCGGTGGCGGGCCGTGCGGACCGTGCATCATTCTAATGGGACAACTGGAAGTGTGGCGGCGTCCCGCGCCCAGGAGTTATTGCTGCCGGCGCCGCCGAGGAAGCGCCACTCCCAGAGACAATGCTGTACATAATGCGGCCTGATCGGCGGCAGGAAGAGAGATGGGTGCGGCTCGGCGCGCGCCGGGCCACGCCGAGACACGATAAAAGACCGATGGAACGGTGGTATATCACGGCGGGCCCGGGCGCCGCAGGTCCGGTCTACGGACGAGCAAAAGTCTGACAATATGAGATGGCATTTGCTTATCTGGGATAAGGTAGGAAGCGATAAATGAAAGTATACGTGCATTGGACAAGAAGCTCTTAAATCTGTGTTATAAAAACTGTTAGTAGCAGAGTATGCACTGTGTAACTGTCGGTTCTGTCTTCCCCAGGACGGTCACAGCAGCAGCAGCAGCAGCAGCAGCAGCAGCAGACGGCTGGTGGAGAGGACGAACAGCAGCAGCACGATGTGCCAGGTAACGGACGGCCCAGCGGAGTGTTTGTCTCAGACTGATATTTCCTATCTGCGTCTGACCGGCCTGGCTGAGCGTAATTACATTGATAGAGCTGTGGCGTGGCACTGATTATGAGGAAGTCGTGAGAGAGGCTGGGGATACTTATAATGATGAAACAAGCTGTTTGAAGTTTTAATTGCTTTCTTATCTAGTTTGTCCTCTCAGCTGCTCTTCTTTGTTCTTTAGTGGGATGGAATGACTGTATAGGAATTCACTAACCATACATAATCCCCTTCTGATGGCGCATTTCACTCACCTTCATGGCTGAATTGGCTACACCGCCCAGTTCGTTTGTCATTGACAGAAACCATTTTCTGGCGAACTTCAATTTTCTTCCTAGGCGATGCATGAAAACTCACCATGTTTCATCTGATGCCGTCCCCACACTGGGCAGCCCATCCATCTATGGATCCCGACGGGCACCAACCACTCGGCCGTTCTCGGCGCCGCTCCTATGGTGCCCCAGCCCCCCCCCCCCCCCCCCGTTAGCCACATTCGCCGGCCGTGCGCTGCTGATGGGTAGCGACGCTGGCCCGATGGATGGGCGGTGCTCGTACGGACGCCGCGCCCGGGGCCGCGCTCTCACAGATTCCGGCCGGGCGGCGGCCATCAATACGAGGGCCCGGTGGTCGGACGGAATTGAAGGTCGGTGGTAACCGGGAGTAGCCGGGTCACCGCCGGCCCTGCCGCCCCTTGGGACCAGACGCTGACGGAAAGGTCCGTGATCAGAGCCTGAAATTCATAGTCGCTGAGCCACTGGTGAGTGGTGAGTCTGCTTCACGCTGTCCCCTCCCCCGCTTCTGTCACGGGCTACAGCCGTCCCGGCCGCTCCTTAATGTCCGGGTGTAGTCTGGCATTGTCTGAGCCCGGCTCACGGACTATTTTTGGTCACTAACGATGATAATCTCAGGTTCTCATTTCGGGCGTTCAGGTTTTAATTTCATATCTCTTAAAGAAGCCTGGCGCTTACAAAGGGCGAGGAGCGTCTCTCATCTCTCAAGTCTCGTTCCAACTACCTGAGTATCACCGGAAGTTGGCTGTGATGTGCCACCCCCGGCCGCTGCGCGCCTTTCGATCCTGGCGGCGCCGCGCCCCGCTCACGTCGACCTGAGTTGGATGGACGCGGAAAGTTGGCGAATTGAGCGATTTATCTGCGTAGTGCCAGAGTCGTGTGAATGGTTATAATGGCCGAACGGCCTTGCACCGGACCGGGCCGGGCCGTGCTGTTCTGGACCGCGCCGAGCCGGGCTGTAGCTGACTGGTGGATGCTGCTAGTGACTGCAGCGCTTGATGCCGTGCGTAGCTAAATTCGGAATAATTTTGCCGAAGTTCTTGTTGTAGATTTGCTCGTAGATATAAAACTTTATCGGAATTCACTGGGATTGTATTGCGTATGCAAGTCCAAATATTTCGGCCAATATTGTTTGGCCTTGGTCACTGGACAACTACAATATTGTACAAAATTGTAGTTGTCCAGTGACCAAGGCCAAACAATATTGGCCGAAATATTTGGACTTGCATACGCAATACAATCCCAGTGAATTCCGATAAAGTTTTATATCTACAAACATAAACCTGGGAAAAATATGACTCTAAAACAGTAGATTTGCTCGTTGTCACAGTGGCTGAGAACATGTAGCCAGAATCGGGCTCCCGTCGTTGGTTGGGAACACTATCATCGAGAGCTGCCGATTGGTGCCAGTAATAAAATAATGTATCGTCGGCGTTGTCCATTACAAGACTGTCACAATCAATCCATTGCTAGACGACGGTTCATTACACCGCGCGTAATGACATTGCCTCCTGTTATTTTTTGTGGCAAAGGGTTGTTACGTTGTTTATTACGGATAACCGTTAGTAATATCTTCAGGCAAACATTGATCAACGACTCAACTTTATATCATTTGTAATGCACAGTGCACACTCCTGTCTGTATTTGAGTACGTCAAGTTTAACTACAGAACATTTTGCGTTCGGGCAGTGATCGAAACGTAATTTTGGACCAAGAAAAGGAGGGCACGCGAATTCGGAGACATTAAATAGGGGATTGCAATTGATGTGCAGCTTTAGGTATGAAGGTTGTTGGTGGTAGTATTTTGCAGCGGCCATTGAATGTTCTTTTTCTTTCAGATGATGAAGACGAGGAGGATGAAGAGGAAGAGGTGATGCAAGAAGGCCGCGAGCAAGAGTTTGAGTTCAAGGAGTTTATTCAGAGGTATGTGTTGGATTTCACTGTTTCATCACCTGACATGTTCCTTTCCTTGTTTCACACACTTCACTTTCACTTGTTTCATTCAGCTGTTTCACTTTGTTTTTTTTTTTCTGTACGCATTATTCCTGAGTCTATAGCTACAATTACCCATCTCGTCCATGCATGTATTCCTGTTGTGTTTATTAATATGGGGCCCTTTGCCGCTCATGCGGGTCTTGTCTCGTTCGCCGCGAGTAGTTCCGGGTACTCATTATTCATTAGCTGACTGGGGTCCACGGCAGGTGTGCACTATCGCACGACTCCTGATACGGTGTTCACGAGAATACACGCTGCCTTACATATAAACTAATTGAGTCATCGTTACAGCTCCCAGCTGCTGGTATACCTACACTCCCAGTCCTGATGACAGCTGACCTTTTTTAGTTCGTTAGGAATGGCAATGCAAATGTCGCATACTTTCTGCTTAACAATATAATGTGCAAGGATGCGAAGCGTGCGAGGAGAAGAATGATTTTGGATTCAGCAGCTATTGCTTATAATAGTGACTGTCAAACCACTGCAAGTCTAAACATCTGTTCAATATGGCGCGCCACTGTCGGACAGGGATTTAGTTGAGCCCAGTTCTTTCCTCGATTGGTGAAGACGGCACAAGCTGTTCAAACGATCGAACCGATATCGTCTCCGGGAAGTTCTTCGCAACTGTTCAACTATATTTCGCGCTTCAGTCCGATGAGGGAGTTGCATGGCATGGTCTTTCATGGTGACTGGAAGGACTATTTTTTTCGTAAGAATTTCACATGAGATATGCATCTTTACTATTTGACTTTTGAGTTTGCAACGAGTCACACAGTTTGTTTCTTGAGAGATGTATGTTCCTTTAGCCGTGCCTGTCATCTCCGTAGTTCTGGACCCAGAATCCAGTCCGCTGTGGGTCATGTGCAGGGGAGCTAAAGTGTGGCCAGTGTCCAGACAACACCCCCGGCTCCCGGTCGGTGCGCTATTTCCTCCGTCCGTCCGTGGTAGCGCCCACTGCGAGTCCGCTAGGCGCCCTATTACATCCGGGGCCGATGCGTCACGTTCAGCAGCACCATCGCTCAGCGGCAGCTGGTGCTGTCGGCAGTGCCGCCGCTGCCGCCGGTCGGCGCCACAGGTGCTGACCGGGACCGGCCGGGCCGGGCAGAGCGGCGGCGGGAGGGGCAGAGCGGTCCCACAGGGCGGGGGGAGGGAGCTGAGCGGTCCCTCAGGGGGCAGTCTGAGCCGACCGAGAGCCCCCGGGACGGTACCGTACTACCGACAGACCCAGAGCTGAGAGCATATACCTGTGCCGCCCATTATTGGGTGGGGCTTGTATCAGTTCCCGCGCTAGTGACGGGCGTTATGCGTTCTCGGAGGAGCATGCGATTGGCTGATGATGGAGGGCATTATATATAAAGGGATAGTGTTATAAATGTTGCAGTGCATTTGCTTCGCTGATTTGTAGACCATCATTGCTTTGAGAAGCATCCAGCTCTCCGGAATATCCGAGCTAAATGTTTGAAGCTAAACCCTCCTAATGTTTCCTTTTCATTTCTTACTCTTAACCCTATTAGTGGCAGGCTCCTGGCTACCCCATATTAGTGGCAGGGGGGGCTGTTTACGACCCCCCTTGATATCTCGAGATCTAACCGGCCGATTTTCAAAATTCAAACGGCATTCGATTTGGCTCAACGAGATCTACATTTCTAAAAAAAATAAAATTACAAAATGTCAATAGGGGGGTAGAGGGGGGTAAAAACGGGCAAATTGCAGACACATTTTCGACTGTTTATCACGGCCAGGTTTCTGAACCAATCTTAACGCAACTTTTACCGATCGATAGAGAATGAACCAGGAATTCACATGGATCCTAAAAATATGCATTTTCAAAAATCATAGGCGGATACAGATCATTGAGATTGGGGGTACACAAAAAGTATAGTAAATAAGGTTTTTGTTGGTACTGTTTCTAAAAAGGGTGGCAATGGTCTTGTTATGTTACAATTTTCTTATGAGAGAACGACTAAAATTGTATTGGTCATGCATAGGCGGTGTCAGGGCACCTATGTTGGGAGGTAAAAATAACCCCCCTTTTTGGACGCCTGGATCCGCCTATTATAGCAAAAACGTGTCAAAAGAGGATGCACAATAACTTTGTATATGTTATCACATGATACCTTTCATTCACTGTTCGTAAAACTGGTGCAGCATCGTGATCTTCGCCCAAATGACTCGCTTCACGAATAGGACCCCCCAATTCCCAGTGCTCTGGAGCCGCCCCTGGTAAAGTTATGAACTTGAAATTTTCAGGGAATGTGCCCAATTTAGTTTTAGGAAAAGTCAGAAAATTTCAGCATCGTAGCTTCAGCGGTTTCGGAGATATTCCCGAAAAACCTGAGGGGTGGATAGAAACAACCCCCCCCCCCCCTGCCACTAATAGGGTTAACACTGCACTCAGTTCGGTCTGACCTTAATCGCGAGCCCCGATGAATCTTCCTGATGGTTGAAATGCCGAACTGCCCATAACTGATTTAAATTTACATTTCCCCAATGGCTGAAGTTATCCGCCGTTCCGGCTGGCCTCTCTCCGTCCTCCCATTTGTTCGTGACCTTTGACCTGTGACCTTCTGGAGGCCCCTGGGCGCGGAATCCCTGTGTGCGGCTGGACGCAGGCTCGCCGCGGCCCGTTCTCGAGATGGCCCTTCATCGCCGCCGACCATTGTGTGCTCGTCTGTGGACGGCCGCGGCGCTATTTGTGTGACGGCGTGGCCGGGCCGCCGAGTTCATAGTGGCTCCGCCGCCCCCGCCCGCCCCGCGCCCGCCGGGCCCGACTGTCCAGTTTGCGCGGCCCGGTATTGGGGCGCCGGGCGGAATCCGGAATCCGCGGCGGTGTTGGCACTGGCGGCCGGCCGGCACGCGCCGCCCATGCTGATGACGTGGTGGGCGGGCGCGGGGGGGGGGTGTCGAGGTGGCCGGCAAGGGCGAGGTCGGATGCAGGCCGGGCGGGGGGGGGGGCTGGGTTGAGATTGGACGGAGGTGGATTAGATTGGATGTGCAGTTGCAGTTCTGTTTTTGTTGGATATGATTTAAAGAGTTTAAGATGTTTCTTCATTGCGTGACATTGCGTGTTACACAGCGTAATGCTCGCTAACATTGGTTCGTGGTTTGAGGTGGCTGAAGTAAACCTGCTCTTTATTTTGTTTACATTGTTTCTTGGCAAGTCGTAAGTTGTATTCTTTTCTGATAATGCGGTGTTTGTGGACCTAAAATGTCTAATACGCTCGTTAATGAGGCTCAGCCTAAGGTCGCCAGTACGTTTGTGGGTTGGCATTTGAACTAACGTCCGTTTGTGTTCTAATGAGGCCGCTCCGTGTCAGTGCTTTTGTGATGTTCACAGCTGCCTAACGGTCACGGCTGATAACCTGGCCGCTGTCCCATTTCAAAGGCGCCGCCACTGCGGGCCGTTTTCAGCTGCAGCTTCCGGCAGCGGGGCCGCTATTCGGCGTCTGTTTTCATTTCGAGGTAATCCGTCCTGGAAATACAATTACGTCTGACAGTATCTGGGTGCGCCTCCGGGAAACTGTGGTGACGGCCGCGCCGCGGTCCCTGCGTGGTCAAAACGGTCTGTCATCCGGCGGTCAATGGAACGCAGGATAGTGAGGCTGCTGGACCGTCGGGGGGGGGGGTCCGGGTGTGGAACTCCTGATGATTTTGTTGTTTTACTCTGGTAATGCCGTCACAGTGCGGTAATGACCTTCGCGAAAAGCCCTCCTATTTTTATCTTTTGGTGAAAGTGTCTTGTTTCACCCTTCAGCGCTGGCTCCCTTTCTCCTCCCCTCCCCCTCCTAACGATCTCCCTCTCCCGACTGGCGCCACCGCTAGTAACTCAGGTACGGCCGCTGCCAGGACCCTGCCGGGGTGATTTGTGACCCGGAGCTCTGTTCAACCGATTGACCTCTGATTGGGTACGGTACTCGCGATGGGTATGGAATTAAGCGGCGGGGATAACTGGTCGATATGCTGTGAATAAATGCAGGATGCTTTTTGTCGTGAGTAGATATCTTCCAAAGTATATAGTATTATCCGAGCTCCATTGAGATGAGCCAAGTGATGTTGGTTGGTAAGCTGTTGGTGCAGTATTGAGTCTAGCTGGAGCCGTATCCTTACATTATCCGATTGCAGCGCGTATGTCGGGCCTCTTCTCCGGTAGGTCACTGACCGGCACCGGTACGCTGTCGCCCGGAGCTGACCCCATCACCCCGTATCGGGCTTCCGGTGCGATGAAGTGGTGCCGCATATCACACTGCATAATCCCGTGCCCGTCCTGAGCACGCATTCATCGGCTGTCGTTTGTCATCGTTCGATGTCGATTACGTGTGATCGATGGCCGCCGGCCTATTCATTTCCTTCCCGCTCAATAGGACTTTATTCGGGGCCATATTTTCTGGGAAAGTGTTCAGATCGAATGCCACCCGCTCGCTCAGAAGAGTCGGCGGTCGGAGCTCGCTGGGGACTCCGCACTTCTGGGGAACGCACGGGATGGTTCGGTTGGGTGTTCTGTTATTGGTGGGGTTTCTCTACCGAAAGCAGGCGCGGGTCCACCTCGGTGGTGCTTTGCAGCTGCCTCTTTCGTGTGCAGCTTGATTTCAAGATAAGACCGCAAATGGCTTCACGGTGAGCTGCGTTTATAAAACTGATAGCCATCTCTTGAAATCTGGTTTCAGCTTGTTGCCACCGATCGCTTTTAGTTTCAGAACTTTTGCAATGTGTGAATTTAATGAAGGCTAGTCGTCTGAGTGCTCATCTCGTTCAAGTTGCATGAATCGCAGGCTCCAGAGAATGTCCAAGACGCGGTCATTCCTTTTACGTGGAAGTGTCACAGTAGTAGCCCTGCAGGTTTGGCCGTCCTTGTCCCGTCCTTCCGTCCAGCTTTTACCACTCTTGTCGAGCGTCCAATACACTTCACCTATCTTCTGGAGCCTCGAGGTGGGTTGTCATTCGTATTCCATGTTCGTATTTGGGCTATAAGACACAGGTAGGCAGCAGTGGGCGGCTATTATTGTTGTATGACAGTCTGGCCACAATGGCCACCGTTTGCGGCGGTTTGTAGGTGAAATAACATGTTTGGATCAGACTGGCGCACCGGGACGCTCCCAATCTTTGGAAACGGAAGTCGTTTTCCACAAACATCGACTATTGGGTTTTACGGCCCGGCGTTTTCAATTGCCTTGTTTTGATTTGGAATGACATGTTTGAAGATTTGCGATGGGTGGGTTGCATATTGCACTTTTATGGCTATCATTCTTCTTATTGAAGTCATTTCCTGAAAGGAAGTCGCTGGAAATCGTTATTGTTGTCATTTGAAGAGGGATTTTCCGTTCTTCCGTTGAAACTGTAAATGCTGATCGTTCAGCCTCTGAATCTTGATGTGTCGAATGATGGGTATTATTTATCTTCATATCATTGCTTCTTGAAAGTTCTATTTGTTACATCACATGCTTACAGGTAGATGCAAAACGCTCATATACATGACATGTTTTTATGGGACATGTAGGGATATAATTTGCATACAGCCTTTTGCGATATCCCACTGTTCGAAGGCTATATCCCGGCACCGCTTGTTTCCACCTCTGTGGACCGATCTTGGCACGCTGCGCTGACAGATCGTCTGTGACCTGACCGGAAATCCTCTTCTGTCCGATGTCGCTGTTTTGCGTGCCCACGGTCCCTCGGGGAGACGTCCGATCGTTCTGTTCAGTCCTCCGCCGCCGTTTCTTGGCCGCCTACCGCCCATATTTTTATCACGCGCCCACCCAAAGAGAAAAAGCGCCACGGACGGGGGCGGAGGCGGCGGGCTGAACCGGACATAAATTCACCGTCCTGGGAGCCTAATCTGGCCGGGTTCTGCTGCCTTTGAGCGCGCTGTGAACCGGGAGAAATCGAACGCGCCGGTCGGACAGGGCCGGCAGGCGCGGCCACCGCGACGCGGGGAGGGACGGTGTGGGCCGGCAGACAGCGGCGGAGCCGGGAGGGACGGTGTGGGCCGGCAGACAGCGGCGGGGACGGTGCGTTCCGGCAGACAGCGGCGGAGCCGGGCGGGGACGGGGTGGGCCGGCAGACAGCGGCGGAGTCGGGCGGAGACGGGGTGGGCCGGCAGACAGCGGCGGAGCAGGGAGGGACGGGGTGGGCCGGCAGACAGCGGCGGAGCCGGGCGGGGACGGGGTGGGCCGGCAGACAGCGGCGGGAGTCGGGCGGGGACGGGGTGTGCCGGCAGACAGCGGCGGAGCCGGGAGGGACTTTTTCTGGGCCGGCAGACAGCGGCGGGAGTCGGGAGGGACGGTGTGTTCCGGCAGACAGCGGCGGAGCAGGGAGGGACGGGGTGTTCCGGCAGACAGCGGCGGAGCAGGGAGGGGTGGGCCGGCAGACAGCGGCGGAGCAGGGAGGGACGGTGTGTTCCGGCAGACAGCGGCGGAGCAGGGAGGGGTGGGCCGGCAGACAGCGGCGGAGCCGGGCGGGACGGGGTGTGCCGGCAGACAGCGGCGGGGACGGGGTGTTCCGGCAGACAGCGGCGGAGTCGGGCGGGGACGGGGTGTTCCGGCAGACAGCGGCGGAGCAGGGAGGGATGGGGTGTTCCGGCAGACAGCGGCGGAGCAGGGAGGGGTGGGCCGGCAGACAGCGGCGGAGCCGGGCGGGACGGGGTGTGCCGGCAGACAGCGGCGGGGACGGGGTGTTCCGGCAGACAGCGGCGGAGTCGGGCGGGGACGGGGTGTTCCGGCAGACAGCGGCGGAGTCGGGCGGGGACGGTGTGGGCCGGCAGACAGCGGAGGGAGTCGGGAGGGACGGTGTGGGCCGGCAGACAGCGGCGGAGCCGGGCGGGGACGGTGTGGGCCGGCAGACAGCGGCGGGGACGGTGTGGGACGGGGTGTTCCGGCAGACAGCGGCGGAGCCGGGCGGAGACGGGGTGGGCCGGCAGACAGCGGCGGAGCAGGGAGGGACGGGGTGTTCCGGCAGACAGCGGCGGGGACGGTGTGGGCCGGCAGACAGCGGCGGAGCAGGGAGGGACGGGGTGTGCCGGAAGACAGCGGCGGAGCCGGGCGGGACGGTGTGTGCCGGCAGACAGCGGCGGAGCAGGGCGGGGACGGTGTGGGCCGGCAGACAGCGGAGGGAGTCGGGCGGGGACGGGGTGTGCCGGCAGACAGCGGCGGAGCCGGGCACCCCAGGGAGCCGCCACGCTGTCGGCCGGCCGTTTCCAGGCTGTTCCCGACTGTAAGCTGGGCCTGGTTTATTCACCGGGACAGGCGGTGGCTGCCGCCCAGGAGGCTGTTATTAAACGGGCCGGCCGGCCATCACGGGCCTGCCCCACGCGCGTAGGGCGAAAATATAAGACGCTGGTCTTCCGGTCATAGGCGTTCACTCTAAGTACAAGTTGCAGGGTTGGTATAGCGTGGTCTCCAATGTAGTTTTTTATGATAATGCAGCTATTGGCGTTAAGCTACAAGTCAATACTGCTTTCACTTGCACATGACTCAATATAATTGCACGGGTGCCCGCCGGCTTCTTTATTCCTGCGTTTTCTTCTGCAGCCCGGCATCATCACCGGGACCGCTGATTTCTGAGGTGGCGCTGGTCAGACGGACGGTCGTTTCTGGAATTGAGACGACCACCTCGGGCTATTGTCACGTGTCGGGCGCGCTGATCAGTGTCCCGGTCGTCCCGCGGTGTCTGATTTCGGCCTCTGCCGCCGCCGCCCGGCCATCAGCTGATTGTGGCCGTGTGGAGCCGGAGGCCGACTGCTGCCGGCTCGGGCCGACGGACGGTGCTCCGACGGACGGACGGAGGCCGCCGCGCCGGCCGGGATCCCACCAACTTTGCATGCATGCTCTGGGAGTTGGCGGCTGTGGCCCCAAGTTTGGCCACCACGTGCCCAAAGCCCGGCTGAAACTCGCTCGGTAGGGCCGTTCTAATTATTATTTTGTGTCCGCAGGCCGTCTCAGAGGGCTTTCTAACAACGGGAAATCAATGTCACGACTTTATTTATCCGCGACGGGAGCCAGGCATGAATAATAAAACACCACTGGCAGACCGGCCGCGCCGCTTTCATCTTGGGAATGAATATGAAGTGCGCTGGAGGGCGCGGCACTTGCTCTGATGTCTTCTTCTCTCGCTTCACAGGATATTCTGATAGCCGGACTTCTCTCGCCGCGATGAAAAATGAGTCCTCCCTTAGTTTTAGCGGGCGGCTGCCTGGGCCTGATGGGTTTCCTTCGCGAACGGCTTGACGTAAAACAAATGTGTGGGCAGTGATTGCATTCCCTAATGATAAATGCGACCTTACAAATATTATTTTCGTGTTTTATCATAAACCACTTCCAAGAACAAACCAGAAGCAAGTGTGACCTCTCCGCAGCACACCCTATGCTAGGTCGTTTAGCCTCAGTTAGAGTAGTTTCTGTTACCTACAGAAGTCGTCCAGTGTCTACAGTCGTAGTACAGTGTCTGTGAGAATCAACAAAACCTGGAGCTCATGTAAACAATGTTTTGTGACTGCATACTTCATGACCCCTCTGTCACCCACATTTTTCCTGTTGCACTTTGCGCTCCGAAGCATGCGCCGCTGGTCGATGTTCCGCATGCTGGCTGACGACGATCTCCCGTTTCAGGTTCATGTCTCCGAAGATTCTGGAGCCGTACTGCTGGCTGCTGCGTCATTTCGACACGAACACGCCGGCTGCCAACCACTGCGTGCTGAGGATGCTGCACAGGGTGGCCTGGGACCACAAGATGCCCGCCATGCTCTTCCAGGTGAGCTCAGAGGGAGGAAACCGGGGCTAGAGGGTGAATGACGAATGGTTTACCCATCGTTGACAAACTCGATCGACGCGATGGATAAACCCAACAATCCGCGAATCAGTGACTGGAGGAACAATCATTGCCGCTTGCACACACGCAAACCACGAGCTCGGCGAGGCAGTGCTCGGTCTCTCGTCCGCTCCCCATTGTCCAACATTATTTTCTGCGTCACGCCGTCATTAGTGTAATCTGCATTCATCAGCGGCGGAGCGGGCGGTGGCGTCAGTGGCATTGGGGCGGTATCGGAGGCCGCCCAATACCGGGCCCATTGGCGGCCGGCCGGATAGTGTTATCGGGCGGCCGGAGACGCAGACGGGCCGCCGACACACAGACCCGACGCAGGGAGACACGGGTGGGAGAGAGACGGGCAGACAGACGGATAGACGGACATAGGGCTGAGAATAGGCGTGCAGCAGAGATAGGAGAGGAGAGGTCAGGTGGGGACTCTGCAGTCTTCATTGATTAAGGTTTACTGTGTCCTTAACGCCTGACACCTTAGGGGCGTCCTGTGTCCCTGAGGCCTGACACCTCAGGGACGGACTGTGTCACTCAGCTCTGACGCGCGGTCAGCAGAGAGTGGGCCCTCGTAAGCCGGTCATTAGGCCGAAGTTCGCGAGTGATGGACAGCTGGGTCACGAGTGGCTCCAAGTTTCACTGAACCAACAGACGCCTGTCCGTCAAAGGTGAGCCGCCAGACGCGAAATCGGCGAATTTTCCGCCGCACCGCACCGGAAATTGCAAGTTAAAAGACGAATGACCGCCTCAGGCACCTCGCGGTGGCCCGTGACTGTCATTTGGCGTCCAATCAATGGGCGCTGGAGCTGCAACTTTGCCCGGAATCGGCCGGCCTTGCATGTCGGAGCGCCGTTTAATTCGGTAGAGCAGCTGGGGTGTCTGGAGCTCGCGGACGGTCTCGAGGTGAGACTGTGGATGACTGTATACTGTGCGTGGGAGGGAGTGTAGGCGACTGCAGCTAGAAAACAACTCGCCACTGCTAGATGATGCCTACCTATTTTACGGCTGTTGGGTTTCTTGTTTAGCCCTGTCATGCTGTTGGAGTCGTCACCCACATAAGTCGTCACAGCCACTACGCCCCCCCCCCCCCCTCCACGGTCCACCCGTACGTCCCACTCCCAATGTCACCTCTGCTTCCATGTAATTAATCATCACATGGTGCTTCCGTTGCAGATCAGCCTATTCAGGACGTTCCAGCGGCTGATGGACGATCCGCGTCACTACAAGAACCCGGCCTTCAAGGTGAGGATGCGCTCCGTCCAGTTTCCGGGGGCCGGGTAAGGAGACTAGTGGAGCCTCCGGTATACAGCCTGCTAATTAGGGGCGCAAGAGAGGAGCGCTGTTGAGCTCGAGGACTGGGATCGGGGGTGAGGGGGAGTGGGATGGGAGAATGTCACGGCAGTGTATTTGAGCGGGACGGACACCAAAGTAGCAGTGGTTTGTGATATGGTGTCCAAAGAAATGGAGGGACCGGATGAGATTAAAGCAATGAACCTCGCTCGCTCTTAATGGGAAGGTTTAAGTGAAGAGACACTGGCGCTGGGTCGACGTCGGGACAAACGGCTCGACATGAACCCGAGATGTCAGCGGGACAGTTGGCACCTTGTCCTAATTGTCTCGATTGTCTGCAGAATACACTCCTCCCCACGCAGCCTCGCACACACCGCAGCCGTGTGTGCTGCGCCGGGGCGGCTAATTCGGAGTCGGTTCACGGTGTCCAATGGGCGCCCGGGGAGCGGTTAGCGTGCCGCCTCTCCCCCGGGACGCGGCTAATGTGATGTGATGGTAAAAGTTGGCCACCGCGGCCTCTCCGACTCCAATAGCCCGCCGCACCGGCTGTCCGGCCAAAACTCGAATGGAAACAAACGGACGATCAAAGTTGCGGAATCGGTTTACCGGTGGCAGCTAGCCGAGTCGGTCCAGGGTCGTTTTGTGGCTGGAGTGGGGCGACTGGGTTGTACGCAAATGAATGACATAGAAGGATGTTTCATGGTTATCAAATAGCAGCGATGTTGTGAGATAGCTTGTTGGCGATTGGTTACGAAGCAATACAAGGCGGCTCTGGCAGTGGACGAAGCAATACACGGCGGCTCTGGCAGATGGGGTCTGTATTTTTTGCCTCGCATTAAAAAGATTCCGGCGACTGAGCGATTTCCTTTGACCTCTGACTTTTTGGCGTAGATTATCGCTGTTATCTTCCATTGGACGTGTTTTAAACAAATGATAAAAAAATACTTAATTATAGGTCACAGGTGCTCTTACCAAGCTTCCTCGACTCTACTAATTGAACTTCCGATGAAGTCAATCCAACTTCGTCAGTTTCTCATGAGACCCAGAGGCCGATTGCGGATGGGTTCAGGAGCTAAAACTCATTAAACAAACAAGACGTGCCATTTTGTCACTTTGAACAGTTCATTATATCGTATCATGACCTTTGCAGAATAAGTAATTCTAACAACACAGGGCTTGTTCAAACGGAATGCTGAAGAGGTTAGGAACGCCATTAGTTCGTGGCTTGAAAATCGACTGCGACTCAGTCGAAGAGTCGATTAAAATATATCAACTGGAGGGACATGTGTCTTTGCATTGTATGTGGTGCTCATTGTGGTATTACGCTGTTGTATGTTGTGCCTCCGCGAAACCGTGCCTCCTGAGCAGTTTCCAGGTTGTATTGATTGTTATGACACGCCGTTGGACCAAAGTGCTTGGCCGATTTTTTTTTACAATATATGGGTTACCTCAATAGCGATTTACAGTTTACACATTCCATGCCTACCTCTCATCGCAAATTTCATGCTTGAAACAGGTTCCTACATTTTACGTTAACATTTCTTCCTCAGGACATTGTCAAATTGGCCAAGTATGTGCTGTCCAAGTTCTTCCAGATGGCTGCCACCAACAAGATGATCTTCATGGAGATGCTGTTCTGGAAGACCCCTCGCGAGGTGTATGAGCTGGAGCATGGATACGACTCCTACAAAGAGACGTGAGTGTGCCACTGAGGGGTTGGCCGTCCTAGACCTGGTCCTCCATCTGCTTCCGCTCACTCTCCTCTTGTCCTTGTGTCGTTCCCAGCTAAATCGATCGCCCTCGCCGCCGTCGGGAGCGTCTGTTTATCCGGGCCGAAAATCGTAAGGCGATTACTCGAGTGGCGCCGTGCGGGGTTCGATTGGATCGGACCCGGGAAATCGGTCCCATCTGTGATTGGAATGACGTGCGGTCGGAATGGGCGCTCAAGGAGCAGGCGCAATGGGAATAGACGCGTGGGAGTCGGACCGAGAAAGGTTGAGTAGACGGTTATTGGGCCACAACGTGCGATGATGGCATTAAGCTGGTGGTCTGACCATGGCCTGACGGGGGGGTGACCTGTGTGGATGATCGTACACTTTGCCTGGTGGTCTATTCTGTTCTGCGCAGTGTTCGGTAACTCCGAGTGTCGAAATTCGGTCAGTCGTCTGTCCGATGCTCGGTACACGTTCGCCAGTGCGTGTCATGTCAGTGGGCGATGTTTTCCTGCTGGGTCGGGTGTTATTTCTCTGCCGCGCGGATGGTATTATTGTGTGGTCAGCGCCGCCCTCGGCAGCGGGGAGGGCTGCCCGCGCCGCTGTGCAGTGCGCCGATCGGACCCAATATTGACTCCTCCGCTGACACAGAGGCACACATCGGCACCAAATATCAGCTCCCCGCGCCTCTGACCTCTCCTTTCCCTCTTCGCTCATCGCGATTCCTTTATTTCTAACTTCATATCTGTTTGCCTTGAATTTGTGTGATCGTGAACTCCTGTGACCTACGAAACCGCACGTCCAGTAGTCGCTGCGTGACCTCACTAAATGCAGCAAGTTATGGCTGATGGGATTTAGATACGGTCCTGTTGATGCTTTGTGGCGCAAAGTCGGCAAAAAGTTACTGATGTGTTCATCTACATGCATCACATTAACTATTCACCAGCATTCATTTGCATCATTGTCTGGTGTGATATGAAAGCCATCAACAGATGTGTCTGCTGGGCTACTTTGATCTTGAGACGGAAAATCAAAGCAATCTGGCTGGTCTGATTTGTTCAATTGTGTTCCGTATTGCTTTCATGTCGGTTCCGAGAAGTGAAATGGATGTAACGTGAATGATCTTGCCGACCCTATTACCGCAATGAGCATAACCTGACGGTATTTATAACTCATTACCGCCCTGGTGACTGCTATTGATGGCCTTCTCCGTGCCCAGGTCCAAGGCGACCAAGCTGGCCTGGTCTGAAGAGGAGGAGATGGAACTGCAGCGAGTCTATGAGGACCTCAAGGAAATGGATCCCGACCCGGGTACGTGCGCAATGCAAAGACGCTTCTGACAACCAAAACGGAGCTTACAAAACTAGGCAACATTACCTACTGATTCATCAAATCATGCTGGCCTGTTTTGCTCATGTTACACGTCCTTGGCATTCCGAATCTTAATTTGGTCACGCCTGACGTCTCTTCAGTGAGTATGCCTAACATACTCCCCTCGGCCCGCGCAGAGCGGGACCTGGTGGACCGTATCCTGGACGCGCTCATCTGCCGCGAGCGCAGCCGCCGGATGGTCATCAAGAAGCTGAAGCAGCTGGGTCTGGTGACGGACACGCGGCAGCTGTCGGGCGCCGGCCGCGGCCGCGGCGTCAGGAAGCCACCGCCGCAGTGGTCCGAACAGGAAACGGCCAACCTCGTGGAGCTCTGGCACAAAAACAAGGAAGGCGTCGGTAAGTCTGATCGAAGGGATCGGCCGGCTAGATATGGATATCAACTGAGAAAAATGCATGGGATCATGTAGGTATGTTCAATTTACCTTGTGCCGTTCACAAGTTAGTCTAACGTGTTAACTTGTAAGTGGATCTTTGTGCATGGTTTTCCAAATACTGCCGTCGCTATTATTGACGCCTGTCGCTGACCGCCGGCCCACCGGTCGCAGCGCCGGTGAACCTGATCTGGGACCAGCTGACTGTGAGACGGCCCAAGTACATGATCAAGGAGAAACTGAAGGAACTGGGACTGATGAAGTCGCGGCGGCGGAGGCGCACGAACCCGGGCACCGGCGGCGCGGACGGTACGGACCGGGTGGGGCGAGCTACGGTTGGGTGATGTTGGAGGATAGGTGTAATTGCTGAGCTGATTGCCCAGCAAAGTGATAGTAGGTGGTAACTGTAAGGAGTTAGTTAAACGCCCGGGATTATTGTACACCATCTTCTGTCGATCCTGGCTAGTTTGCAACGTCGTCTGAATCCTCTCGTGTGTGTGTCTTCATTTCGACTGTTGGCTGTTGCTGTTTGTTTCGCTGAGTTACCTACTTTGCTTCTTACAACATGCGGTTCATCCAATTCTCATCGAGCCAGATGTCTCCAAACATCTACCATGACCAAGTCTGAGTGTTTTCCGTCGCCGCTGTTTCAGCTGGCCGTGCGGACGATGACGACCTGCTGGACACGGCCTCCTCCTCCTCTGACGAGGAGGACTCGGGCCGCCCGAGTGGCCGCTCTGGCGGGGGCGGCGGCGGGGGCGGCCCGTCGCGGCGCCCGTCGGCCCCCCGCCGCCGCCGGCCGGCCGAGCGGAGACCCGCCGTGCGCCAGGTGTCGGCCGGACAGGTGGCGGCGGCCGTCCGCGACTACAGACAGTTCGGTGAGCGCCAGATTGTGAGACGGGATAAGTTCTGGCCAGGTTTGACTGACGAGCTAAATTCGATTTATGAATGGATGAACGTAGCGAGCTGGATTGTGAAGATCGCTGATTGTATTGTGAACATCCCCTGCGTATCACTAAATGTCCCGTGTGAAGTTCATAATTTGAGGTGTGAGCTAAATCTCGTTTTCGATCTGAGCCTGGAACTGACCGACGTTATTTTCTGTTTGTCTGCAGCTGGCGAGGAGACGGCCGCCGAGGTGCTCTCCTGGCTGCAGGAGGCGCTCCAGGATCTGGAGGAACTGCGTCGCGAGGACCCCGAGGAGGCGGTGCCGCTGGTCCCCCTCTCTGAGCCCAGTGCCATGGCGCTGGAGTCGGAGACCGGACAGAAACTGGTGTCGCTGCTGGGCGCCCAGAAACCCGCCGAGGGGGTACGTTAGGGGCTCAGAAACCCACCAACGGGGCCTGTTTGGAACTCAACAGTCCGAGCAGGGCGACTTACTGACCTTAACCTGGCGGTGTGTTGACGGTCTTCTTGTAGATATGCTACAATATTTACCGCATTTTTTAGTTTATTTATTCCGGTAAGTTATCCCGCTATTCCACGCCACATTCGTTTTTATTTGCCCTTGACGATCGCACTGACCGGTTCCGTCTTCCCGTTCAGGAGATGTTCTGGCGGTGGCCGTCGGAGGCGGGTACCGACTTCCTGCTGAGGAACGCCGCTGTTCTGTCCGACTGTCTGACAGGGAACGGGCCGCCACCGGACGGTACGTCCCACCCCGCTCAGTGGCAGTGCGCGTACTGTGGTCCCATCGCGCCGCCCTTGGTAGTCCAGGTGGGGAGACCGACCCGATCCCTGCGGACTCGCCGGCCGGCCCGCTCACCCCGCTCACCCGGCGCTGCCCCCCTGAAAAGGCGTCAATCTATCTGCGGAGCCGACGGCGTCACCCGGCCCGCCGTAATGGTGAAAATATTCAGCCCGCCGCCCGATACGCGGGCACAATCACACCGCTCTCCGAGGCGGCATACAAAGCTCGTCGGCGACACAAGGGCGTTCCAGTTAGGCGGGCCGGGTCTATCCGTTACCCGGGGCAGCCCGGATCAAAGCGAGGCTCACCGGGAATGGCGAGCGCCGGTCGACGGGAGTGGGCGGCGGCTAAAATATCGCCCGATAAAGCGGCAGATATGTTTGCAGATCAAATGAGATCGCGCCTGCGGCTGAGTTAGTGTGCTGTACGGACAAACGCGCCACGCCAGCAGGTGGCTTAGCTTTACGATGTTCATATACCTACGTACTTGCAGAGCGTTTAGTTTCATATTGTTGATGTATTCACCCGTTCGTTATAATCTAACCTTGACGTGACTCAACTCTGAAACCGTTCTTTCAGACGAGGTCGGTGGCTCGGGTAAGGAGAACGTGGCACCGGAGGAGGACGGTGAGCGGCCGGACCCCGGCTCAGATTCCTCGGAGGACGAGGGGCCGCCGAGGACGGCCTCCAACAAGAGGATCCGCCTGGTGTCGTCTGATGAGGACAGCGGGGACGAGCCCGGCTCCGCTCCACAGCGGTGAGTCACGTGCTCTGTCTGTTCAGAGTGGAGCTCTGGTGCGAAACTGATTATGAACGTCATCCAACACTCGGGTTTGTCTCTCGGGTTATTTATTTTATTTCTGTTACATAAATAGCCATGTGTCGCTGTGTGCCACCGAGTCCAGTTTCACGCACCCACCCGACTGCCGATGTGGTGTTGTTCTGCCTGGCGGCTGCGGCCGGCGGGCGGCCCTGTTTGGTCTAATATGCTCTCTCCTGGCTGGCCTCCCAATGTTTCCTCGACTAACCGACTGCCAGCGTGCTGTCATCTCCACTCCCGGGCTCCCGCCGTGACCGGACTGAAACCGGCGGCGGTGCGGACCCGCCGAAAACCGGCCGTTTGTGCTGGGCTGTTGTTTGTGGTAGTGACGCGGTTTAGGAAGCAAACGGTTTCACCTTAGTAATTCGATACTGCGAACTTGTCGCTGGTTCATAGTATTCTAGGCACGTTTGCGTTGTGAAATTGAACTATGAATGTACTCGACCTGTCGTTAGCTCAGGCTTGTCTTATGTTCGTGCGATCGGTGTGTTGTAACTTGCTAACCTGTTGAGTTTCGAGTGGTCGATCGGGGTAGTGTGGTAATAACCCGTCATCCGCTGTCCGCAGCTCTCCGGGCGGTTCGCCCGGCCGGGCCTCGCCGTCCGCCGGCGGCTCTGTCTCACAGCCGCGGCGCCGTCTGATGGCCTCAGACTCCGAGGACGAGCCGCCCCCGACTGGGGCTGACGGAACTCCGAGCACGCAGAGGAGCCGGGTTGGCCGGCTGGCTTCTGACTCAGAGGACGGCGGGCCGGCTCAGGGCTCCGCAGCGCGGTCTCCGTCCCAGCCCGCCTCGGGAAGGACACCGTCCACCCAGCGCAGCCGCGTCTCTCGAGTCGCGTCCGATTCGGAGGACGACGCTCCATCCCAGGCCACGTCGGCCTCAGGCAGGTCAGCATCTCAAGCCACGTCGGCGTCAGGCAAGTCTGCTTCTCAGGTCACATCGAGGAGCACCCGGCGCAGTCCTTCCACGCAGCGGAGTCGCTCCTCGCGCTCGTCCTCCTCTTCCTCCGACTCTGACGCGGAGTCGTCCCAGGCCACCTCTCGACAGAGCTCGTCTCGGGCGGCGTCCAGTCGGGCGACGTCACCGTCGACGCAGCGGAGTCGCGCCTCTCGAGTCGCCTCAGACTCTGAAGATGAGGTGAAGACTGCCGGCTCCGCTGGCGGCGGTGGGGAGCGTGGAGACGCTGAAGAGACCCAACAGAAGAGGATGCTGTCCTCGGACGAGGAAGGATCCGACGTCGAGTCTAACAAACGGGCGAGCGGTGCGAAGAAGGCGCGTAGGGTGATTGACAGCGACAGCGACTGAACGGGGCGTGTCCCGTAGACATGGGTGAATGCGTGCCACCTGAACACGGAGAGATAGTGCGCGCCTTTCGCCGTCCCTCCGCTGTGGATGGACCATGCTCGACCAAGAGGAGCGTTCATAGTGATCCGTTTGAGATGTGCGGCTCGGCGCCGCCGTGATCACCCGGAGATGACCGCCAGGCGGGGGGGGGGGACGCGGCGGTCAGAACCAATCAGCGCCGGATCAGCCGGCCCGCGGCCGGCCACCTGAGCACCGGAACCCTAACGGAAGCCGGTCAGCGACTGCGTAAAGGATGCTGGCCGTATTGCGCGTCTAAATGACCTTATGCGCCCGATAGGAGGTAAGTTTGGAATTTGGAGGGGCCATTTCAGCGTGGTGTTTGGTATGCTACGGATTTTACATGGATGTAATTGCCTTATAATAAAGCAGAGAATGTGCAAACAATGCTGAGTTGGTCATTTCATTTGACGGATGGCTGGGATGTATGCACGATCAAGGGCGAGCGGCGGTTGATTTGCAGGCTATGACTTCTTGTCAACGCCAGATTTCCGCCTTCTGCCACTAAACGGAGGCCCGTACATGTAGTGGATGCAGGACGGACGGAATCCTCCCTAATAATCCAACGGGCGTTTAGATGCATGCAAAACACTATCAAACAGTTCATTCAGACAAATAACGAGCGCTGAGGCGTGCCGCACCAGGCTCGAAGCCCACGTCTCAGTGTTCCCCCGCACTTCAAATCGAGCTACTTGAGCGCAGCATGTTTGTCACCAAGTAGTTGACGAGTTGCTCGCTCAGCGTGGATCTAACGGCAGCCGTTACTACCTCCAGAGTCCAATTGAGCATCCCGGGATAACCAGCAGACAGGTCGCGTTGTTACGAATGCATTTCATATAGGCAGAACTGATGATTAGGCGTCCTGAAACATTCCGATGGCTCGCAGATCTCGTCTCAATTGCCTGTGATTCGCTTCACTACGAAATATGGCACCGCTATGAAACAAAATCCCATTGAATGAGTGCATCAGCTTCATGTCCTCTAACAAAATGAAGGATAAAATAAAAGTAAAATATGAACGTGGACAGCGGAATATCGAATATCACAAGCATTCCTAAAACACATAAATCACAGTTTCAAACGGACTGTGCAGCACAACATCGTGGCGACACAGACTGGGTCTCAGCGGACACATGCTACGCCGGACACTCCGCGCACTGACTAGTCGGATCACAGATACGTCCCGCGGACCTCGGGCGAGTGCAGGCAGACGGACACCGCGAGCGACACACTAAACACGTCAGGTCTGGTACACAGTGCGCGATAGGCAACTCAGAGAGGCGTGATCCTCACAGTTCACACCAAACAACCATATTGCACAGCGCTGCAAGAACGCCATCTGCAGCCGAAAGTGACGCGCCAGGGACAAGCCTCGCACTAGAACGGACGCTTGAGCCCGAAAGGCTATGCGCCCTACTCCAAGTAAGACAATAGACCACATTGCACAACCAATGCTCACAGAAACATCCTCTTAAGGATCCAATAGGTAGGCGAAATAAAGACACTGCTCATAAACAAATACCCATTTCCTTGCCAACACAAAGAAGCCATTTCGAAAAGCTATCACCCGGCGCCCAACGTTCATTCAACCAGTGGTAGAAGTCGGTTTCACTGCCACCAAACGCGACAGTGGCGCCTCTGGGCTGGAGAAGCAGCAATCATAACGCCAGAGGCGACAGACAGACTATGGCAACGCAGGGGACTGAATAATCGAAGCTGAGTATTCATGGGGAATGTAGGGGTCCCACAAGTCGCGTATAAGAGGGCGCATTACAGTACTCGCGAGTTCTAAATGGGGCACAGCGGCAGCGGCTACCAAAACGTCCGGCGGTACGGCCGCTACCGTTACACATTTATTTGTGCGCTTCTGTGTGCTGGCGGGGTAACGCGCTGTGCCGTATCACATCTACAGCTGAGTTCCATCACATACGAGAGGTCCTACCAGTCATCAACACTCGGAGCTCGGCGACCTGATGACCTCAGCCGTCAGTGATCACAGTTTTCTATGTCCACACTCAAGCATCTTCACGGCAGAATGGTGGTAACCTCCAGAGTGCTTGTTTGGGGTTGAGGGACGCATCGGCTACGGGGTAGCCATGTACTCATCTCGGGAGTCTAATGGCAGTTTCAGGTGTCCTGTCACCAACTCAGGGGTTCGTTGGTGATCTCAGGCGTGCTGTGGTGACCTCAGGATGTCGCTTTGAGTCCCATGGTAGACAGATTCCTGCGTCCAGCAGCGATCTCCATGGGTCCAAGACTCCACTGACTCGCTCAGGTTTCCTGTGGCGGTCTCGATAAGACCAGAAGCAGCCTTGCCACTCTGGCGACGCTAGCAGTGTTCAGGCGTTTCGGTCCCCTCCGGCGGCCGACCCCTGCAGCGGTTTCGACTGAGACAGGTACGAGCAGAGTCCGGTCCGCAGCGCCTTGTATCGCTTCAGCGAGTGGTGCTCCAGCACTGCCGGCGGTCGGGGCACGAGAGGTCGGTACAGCACACACGAATGGACACACCACATACAGACAGTCATGCCTGGTTATATCCGTTGCAAATAGTGATACGATATTTTTACGTGCATTCCAAGACCCTTGAAGGTACTATTGCAACACCAAGTCAAAGATGAAAGGTCCAATCAAAGCCCAGCTCCTTCGGCACAGGGTGATGAGTATGTGGTAAAAGTTGCATAAATTGTCAAACTCACTCAACAGAAGACAAACTCACTCGTCTGTTGCGCGCGGCGGTCTGGTCCGTTCAGAGCCTACCTTTGAGCACGTTGCCGCTGTCTGCTATCGTCCGTCCCTGGGTCTTCCATATTCGGTGGAATTCGCACATCAGGCAGACGTAGTACTCGTTCAGAACATCCATCACAGCCAGTCGCATGTTACACTCCCTGAAAATCGCCAGCGAGATGTCAGAGCAAACTTACCGATACTGGTCGGAATGGCACACCGGGGAATTGAGCACTACTGGTCTTGTGGGCTTCCATGGGGCCAATAGGTCACCACACGGAAGTTCAGTACCACGCCGGCCAGTGACCACCCCGCCCCCGAATGTTTGTCAGTTCCCTGCTCAGTGTCTGTCGCCTCCCCCCCCCCCCTCTGAGCGTCCGCCAGCCGCCTGCTCCGCCGGGACCCACCTGTTGAGCACGCCGTGTCGCAGCGCGTTCAGCGCCAGCCGCGTCACATTGATAGCCAGCACCATCAGCGGAAAGTTTTGGCGCGGGTCGTGCGAGAGCCGGTACAGGTCGGCCGACAGCCGGCCGTACTGCGGAGCCGTCACCAGAAACACGGCGTTCACCAGACTGAGCAGGCCGGCGCCGCGCAGGTCCGTGGCCGGGTCACTGCCCTGGGGGCGGGACAGAGGGCGGGTCACTGCCCTGGGGCGGGTCAGAGGGCGGGTCACTGCCCTGGGGGCGGGTCAGAGGGCGGGGCACTGCCCTGGGGGCGGGTCAGAGGGCGGGTCACTGCCCTGTGGGTTAGAGGGTGGGTCACTGCCCTGGGGGTCAGCGGGCGGGTCAGGAGCTGGCTCAGTTGCCGGGGGTGTGACTCTGTGAGAGGACAGGTTAGTCGTCAGGCCACTGCCCTGGGGTGGGACAAGAGTGGGCCACCGTCCCGATGGCCAGTGGGCGGGTCAGTCGCCGGGTCACTGCCCACGGTAGGTCAATTACAGAATGATGTTGAGCATTGTTAAAAACGGTAGCTCCGGTACATCAAATCATGAAATTAAACCTAGGCATACCAACCATCACGGTCAGCGTCATGAAGAGTGACATCTACCCGCCGTCACGGCACGGCAGACTGGTACTTCCGTCTGCGTCTGGCGACCGGTCGACGCTCTCACCTGGAAGCCGATGCTCTCCCAGTGGTGGCCGTAGCGACCGCAGTCCAGCCGGGTCGACGTCAGCTTCTTGTAGATGGTGGTCAGCATCTGCACCTGACGCGCCTCCTCGTTCTCCAGAGGACCTGGACACGGCGCGGCGGAAATCGGCCGGCGGTTAGCGCTGGACTCACAGAATACGGAACATACATCATCGCCGGGCAGCTGGTAGTGCTCTGAGTTCACCAGCAGACGACATGTAACGTGTAGCGTCTCTTCGCGAGCAATCATAGACATATTATACGGTATTTCGAAGAAACAAATCGAGCGAATCAAATTCAGTAATCAGTTTGTAACAACCAGAACTTCGCGAAACGAAAGGGATGTTAGTTGCAACGTGAGATCACGGACCTCTGAACACCTCTATGATGGGACTCAGTGTACAGAGGTCTATGGTAAGATAAATCGAAATTGGTAGAACCACATCCGCATGAGTAAACTATTCAATCAACCGACATCAACATTGAGCGAGTCTTCGTCCATATTATGCAAACAAATGCAGACAATATCCAAGGAAATGACTGCCACCTGCCACAGACGCCACAGCAGACAGCTGGGCTGTGAACTGTTGGCTGTGAACAATCCTAATTAGTAAGTCATTCGTAAGAAAGTCATCAATCGGCGCGCCCTAAGGCCCCAATAAACAAACAAAAGTCATTATCAACATCCGATATTGTGGCACTCACTGTGTGCTATGGCGAATATCCTGTCTCTCTCGGGTACTAAACGTTTGTCCAGGGCGGGCGGACCCAGCAATCTGCAGAACAGAAGCCTGCAGCCGGGCTTCCTCTCCATAGTTGGCTGGATGTTGGCCTGAAATAATAATTATCAAAGCTGGTTTTCAAAGCGCCAGATGGGGAAGTGGTGTCGAGATCGAGATATTATGACATACACGTAAAAACCGCTTTACCAGCTTAATTTCCTAAAGCATAACATCTGTGTTAAAAATATGCATCAACCAAGTGTTGGCAGCCCTCGGTAAACATCGAAGGATTGGAATTGGATGCTTGTTCAATGTTGCTAGAATTCGCAACGATTCTGGAATTGTCATTTACCGTAGGATGCACTGATGGTGCATGCCCCTGAGACTACAAATTCCTTCAGCACTAGCGCCTACCATGTGGGGAGAGAGGTCCTTCTCCCTGAAGTACTCCCAGACGTCGGCGAACTCGAGGCAGGCGGTGGCGGCCGGAAGATGCTGCTGGTCACCTGGGGACGGCTGCTGGCCGGCTGGCGCACAGTGTACGTCCGGCAGAGCGTCCCACTCGTCCGCTGCTGCCTCGTACTGCTGCCTGCGACCAATGGGCAAGGTTAGGGGGGGGGGGGGAACACAGCTGTCAGGGAGTTAATGCAGCTCACTTGTGAGCATGTGGGTAATATATAGGTACCTACTGTCAGCTGCTAGTGAATCTCAAGACTCAATCAATATCATACATATGAGAGTGATGTCGGCAGAACCAAATGGAGTGTCTGCGCCTGTATATGTGTGCCACCATCTGCAGTATGGACTGGGCATTGAACAATCTTGGAAGCAACATATGTAAGCCTTCTCAATAGCAAACATTCAAACATCTTAAATGGGTTTATCTCTCTTCTGTTAATCACAAGCATATGCATATTCTAGCTTCATGTCAGACATCTAACTGGTGTTTGACCCTGGTAACAATAGCAATACATATTACATACTTGTTCAGCTGTTCATCCTCCTCTTTTGTAGCCATGCTCTTGCTGAACCCTTCTTCAGAGTTATCCATAATGTATACCTACACCACCTAAAACCAAAGGATATATTTCATTAATGAAAATGGTAATCATTAATGGTAAATGATAATGATCCTTGGTGGAAAAGCAGGAAATAATGAACCAGAGAAGAAAAAGCAGACTGAATACCCATTACCCACTGAACATGACAGAAGCTACAATGTACAAAGTTACTATTTCAGACTCTCCATTTAAAAAATAAATATTTTCAATTTAAAAAATGTAAAACGCACAGCACACTACGGCAGCGAAAGCTTTAATGCCCGTTCTGTGAAACACCTGCCCAAACAACAGTCTGAAGAATACCCTCCGAAGGAGAAAAACAAAAGGGGCTGTCCAAATACCTATACCGTAAAATGGGGTGTACATACATACACTGGATGCTGATACTGATGCAGCAGTGATAAAGAGCATGGTTATATTATTGATTTAAGTATTATGTTCTAAAATATTAAAGTTGGCAGCAAAGCCGGCAACCGGAACAGCATCGGTTCATTTTTATTCCGCAGATCAAGAGACTACAACATATGTGACTGAATATTACATAAAATTGACGGCTAGACCTATCTTAAATCTGTTAGTCACCCTGCTTAGTTTCCCTTACCTAGAAAAGAGGAAAAAGAAATACTGCCATCAAAAGAAGTTGGACAAAAGAGCCGAGCTGCTATGCGCCCTAACCCAAAACAACAACGACGGTGAAAACTGATTCATACTTACAATTCAATACCCTCTAATTTTCTGCTTCAAACATTGGCGGTACACATGGAGGTCCCCGCTTCAAAATTAGTTAATCCCTATAATATAGACATCATTCTATAGAGAAACTCATGTTTAGTAAGAATAATGTGGTTTCCAGTTATCTGATCGATAATTTTAAGACCAAAAGCTAACTAATCGTATTCTTACCACGATCTCGGTGGAGCCGCACGACGGTCTGTTGTCAACATGTCAATTGTTGTTAAATACCATTACGCAGAAATGTAGTATCTTCATAAAACCCAACACACTAGGGGAACTGTGGGAAACCGGGGTTTTGGGTGGGGGGGGTACTATTTTTATGAAAAAGTGATAGATATACACAAATAATTTTGGAATTACGGTTCTGTATTTTTAATTTTTAATAGAAGAGAATTCGGTAATTTTCTTTTTCGGTAAAGCGCCTCACGAGATGCGCCAGATCTGTCGACGAATGATAGCGACTTTTCTGAAAAGTCTTCAGAAATGTTTCGTTCGAAAATATTTTCGTTCGTGCATTTTCTTTATTTTCGTTTTTTGGTCCGTGCATTTTTTTGTCTGTACATATTTTCATTCTTCGTCCAACATTTCTTCGCCTGTACTGTACATGTTTTCGTCTGTGGCCAACTCGTGGCGAAGCAGTGCAGTGCCGAAGGCAATGCCTTAGGAGAGATTACAGGCAATAGTAAATCAAATATTTTTAGGTTAAATGGTTATGTATCTGGCTTCAGGCCGAAGGCCTGAAGCCTGATGCATGACCACTTAACCTGAAAATATTTGATTTACTATTGCCTGCAATCTATTCCTGCAAGTAACTATTTCCTTATCCGGTAGGCAAAAATCAGTAGGTTAGGTTAGGTTAGGTTAGGTTAGGTTAGGATTCCCGGTAGGCAAGAATCAGTAGGGTAGGTTAGGTTAGGTTAGGTTAGGTTAAAGGTTTCTTAATGCCTGGTAGGCAAAAATCAGTAGGTTAGGTTAGGTTAGGTTAGGTTAGGTTAGGATTCCCGGTAGGCAAGAATCAGTAGGTTAGGTTAGGTTAGGTTAGGTTAGGTTTCTTTATGCCTGGTAGGCAAACTCAGTAGGTTAGGTTAGGTTGCTTTAAGCTCGGTAGGCAAAAATCAGTAGGTTAGGTTAGGTTAGGTTAGGTTAGGTTAGGTTAGAACACCTCTTTGAATTTCATCGAGTAATAATCGCTTTTCTCAAATTTAAAGTTGTCTGCGCTTTAGACATACCAATTTAAGCTCGGTAGGCAAAAATCAGTAGGTTAGGTTAGGTTAGGTTAGGTTAGGTTAGGTTAGAACACCTCTTTGAATTTCATCGAGTAATAATCGCTTTTCTCAAATTTAAAGTTGTCTGCGCTTTAGACACCCTGGGGGTGCGTTCTTTGAGCAGATTTCACGTGAAATTTCACGTGGAATCGGAAGTCAAGCCGTTCTTTGCCGATTCCACGCGGAATTTCACGTGAAATCCCGCGGAATTCCACGTGAAATACGGGAATCGAAAAAGCTTGTCCCGAGCGCTTTTTTCAAGATGGCGACGCCCAGTGGAGGAGGGAATGCGAATGTGTGCGTATGATATGGACTGGTTTTGCGGAATGTGTTACTAAAATGTTACCGTTTTTACCAAAAACTTTTTTAGCGATTGTTTCCGCTGTTACTAACCAGCAAACTGGTGTGGAAATATTAACCGGTAGGTATTCTTACAAGCTGTATGCACACCAGAGACTTTTCTATAAAAACTCCATCTGCCTCTCATCACTTAAGATGCATCATCGGACTTACCGACAATACAAGCAACGCTAAGTTCAATGCATGTTTCACTAATCTGGGCGTATTACATTTATGAAGCCTCTGCGACAATTGCGCCGTGAAATTCCCGGGCTGTCGGCAAAGAACGCATCAGCTGACTGAGCCGTGAAATTTCACGTGAAATTTCCGTGCAAAGAACGCACCTTTGAGAACCTTGGTATTGTTTGTCATTTCTAGCTGCGATAAAAAATTGTGCACGCGAAACGCATCTGATATTTTTGCAGCCTTGATTGTTTATAAATTGTGTTCATCCGCCGTAACCAGCATGGCGTCAGCGTCGGTTGCGAGGGGTGAGGCATGTGGTGTTTTGGGGTCAATTTTGCCAGCTTTAAATGGTAAGCTGATGCATTTTACTGGCAGGGAATGTTAGATAGTTGGATTATAGCATGTTGTGATACTAATTGGATTCATATAATTAAAACGAAAACGCTTGGGGACCTCCGTGTTTCCGACCCAAACATTTTATTTTAAATAAAAATGGAAAATAATCTCCCCAAGAATCCACCTCCAACTTCCCCGCGCACCCGTCGTCCAACACCTATCGCAAAAATAACACGCGCAATATTTTGATGCTAGCACGCCGTTATTGGAAAAATATTTTCCTTATTTTACAGCACCATGCTCTGAGAGAGTCTAAAGTGCGGACATCACGATTCACGAACTCACCGACTGTAGTCAGCGCCTCGGGGACTGTCACTAACAGGGCTAGCCACTAACCAGATGGAATTACAACATTTTGGAAGGCTCTAGCTCAAGAGGAACCACCGCATGAATAGTATGGGATGCTTCCTTTCATCACTATTCCCTAACGCAACCAACATGCCGTTATCATATTGGAAGCAATCGGCCTGGCTCTTGACATCATACTTTCGACAACTTGACCTAGCCTATCACGATCGTCGATAAAAGAGCATAATACTGAAAACAAGGTTTATTGACTTTTGGTGCTGAATATTTCTAAGCGGATCGAGCATGTTGTCAACTGCGCTCCCGCTTTCGTTCTCTCACACGCCGCGAGGAGGCGGTCCACAAAGCTGACCGGCAGACACAGACCCGCTCCTCCAATCACAGCCCAAAAGGGATTAAACCTTTCGACACACACGTCTCTCACGTCCCGCCCGGGGAGCGTGCCAATGACATCCGATGCAGAAAACTCGCTCACAGTTCCAACTGCCGTGTCGTGGGCAGTGGAGCGACCGCCACGCCGACAGACGATGAGTGCATTGCGGTGTCTTCAGAGTTCATCATGCGGACGCCTAGAGCCACTGGTGCACCGCGTGATGCGTCTTCTTGTGACGTTTAGACAGGAACATAGCCGCGCGGCTCACACGACCACTGCCCGTAATTCAGCGCGTGGCAATACCGACGAGTTTGTCAATACAACTGCACATCAAACCTCCGGCCTGCTCACCTCGACAGGCGGGGAACAGAGAGCAGCATAGATTCTATACCTAGACTTCGATAAAGTGCTATTTATCTATCCTATAACAGGAGCGAGAAACAGGCGGATCCAGCGCAGCAGGGCAAAGCAACGGGAACAAACGTGTCTTATGGAGATTCTCCAGCGAAGCGTCGCGACACTTTCACAGAGGAAAGTGACAGTGACGCTCCACGAATGGCACAAAGTATTACAAAGTCATAGAAATTATAGTATCACTATGGCAATACAACAATCCTAACACAGCGGAGCGGCGGGCGCAGCACAGAACAGGGTGCGTGTGGACGGCGGAGAGGTGCTAAACTCATGTGAATGAAGTCTTTTTAGCGCAAACGAGAGCCGTAGAAGTCAAAACGGTTCACTTTTCAGCGACGAGCCGCTCACTTGTTGCGGCAGCAGTGGCGGATCGGGCACTCGACGTTGTCGCAGCCGTTGGCGGTGTCCGGGTGCGGTCCGTCGCCGATCTGGTCGCAGTACCAGAGCCGCTCGGCGTCCAGCCGCGGCGCGGCGGCGGCCAGCGCACGCAGCGCCGCGCCCGTCAGCCGCCAGCAGCCGCTGACGTCCAGCAGGCGCAGCGAGCAGACGGCGCGGCAGCCGGCCAGCCGCCACACGGCCGCCGACGTCAGCCGCTGGCAGCCCGAGAGCAGCAGGCTGGTCAGCCGCGGCCCGGCGCCCGGCCGGCAGCCGCCCGACGCCGGCACCAGCAGACGGCCGTTCTTGTCGCGCGCCAGCCGGCAGCGGACGGCCGGCGGCGGCGCGCTGCACTCCTCGTGGCTCTCGCAGTCGTAGCAGTCGGCGTCCGGCGGCGCGGAGCCGCCCGCCTCCTCGATGTCGGCGTGCTCTGCGGCCGGCGGCGGCGGGCAGTGGAGGTCCAGCTGGTCGACCAGCCGGTCCACGCAGCGGTCCGTCAGCCGCTCGCAGCCCGACAGATCCACGTGCTCCAGCCGCTGCAGTGCCGCCGGCGGCAGTCTGCGGCAGACACCGCGCCGTCAGCTAACGGATCAACATCCCACCGGCACCAGCACGTTACGTTCAGGTGCCATATCATTTAGAACAGTACACGCAAGTAAATAAGTAATATCGCTACGCTGATGTCAAGTTTAGATGACGAGATGTGGTTGATGCGTAATTAGCGGTTCCTGGCAGGGAGGGGTAAGTCAATGTCTATGCTACGAGTACATGCACATTTTAGCAAATCAGTGAATTTTGAGACATCGGCGACATCCAGTTAAATACAACTTTACAATAGATGCTAACTGGCCCGTTGAAACGCCACGTATGCAGAAGATAGAGAAGTAAGCGGACGGATACGGTAGTGTTTACAGCTGATAAGGATGATGTTTCGTCATCAGAGTTAGGCGCAATATCGCTGTGCTCAGGGCACGAAAAACGATGCCTATGAAAAACCGACTGATGCAATACAGACACCATTACTAAGCACATTCGGAATCGTCCACAATCTACATCGGTAGGGTAGTGACGTTTTCATCGTCACAGCATGACTAGCAAAAAAAAGCATCGTGGTTAGTGTGCCAAACTTTGCGGCGGGGAAGACTATCCCATAACGTCTCCCACACTGCAGCGTCGGGTCCTGTCCGCCCTGACTGCCTCCCCGCCCGGCGGCCGGTACCTTTTGAAGGAGCAGTCGCCGATGGGTGTGTAGCTCACGTCCAGGTGGCGCACGTTCGGACAGAGGACCAGCAGCTGGCGCAGCTGGGTGCTGCCCAGACCCTGGCAGCCGGCCAGCACCAGCTTCTGCACGTACTGACCCACCAGCGGCAGCGTGTGCGCCGTCAGGCTGCGGGACGGCAGGGACTGGCTGTCACGGGCGGAGGTACCGAAGACGGTCGGGACAGCCGGCGCCAGCTGCGGTGGACACTGTGCATAGAATGCAGCATACCATAGTAAAGAAAGATTATGTTATGACATTACTGAGACTCGGGTGAATCGATGTCAGCATACACGGAACGGAGTCACAGACACTAGAAACTGGAAACTTTAACACGGGCCATTCGGTGATTATTAACGAGCGCCAGTCTGAGAATGAACTCGGATCAACACCGGCCACTTGTTGTTACGGTAAATCTGCGACACACGCCGAATGTCCGGTCGCTCACCTTTTGAGTCTCCGGCGCTGCTCGGCCGCAGTGTGGGAGTCGTCGCGCCTCTGCACGGAGCCGTAGTACGGGTCACACTCGTCCACGTCTGCGTCCAGATCGAGCAGCTTGCTCTGGAGCGCCGACTGCAGCATCAGCTCCTCGATGACGTCACTCTGAGCAGCGTCACAGTCGGCTGGGAAACGGCAAATACAACGGTCGGCGTGTGGCGTCACTCTGAGCAGCGTCACAGTCGGCTGGGAAACGGCAAATACAACGGTCGGCGTGTGGCGTCACTCTGAGCAGCGTCACAGTCGGCTGGGAAACGGCAAATACAACGGTCGGCA